GGAAAATCTGAGGAAGGGTTGTGGGGATTGCACAGGGTACACTGGGCCTTAAATTGGGTTCCAGAGCTACCTTGTGCCTGGATTCTGTCCAGAACTGAGAGATTTTAGCACTTGCATTCCAGAGGGACCATATGAATTACAGGCTGACAATGAATGCTGAGAAGAGAAGTGGCTTATATGACCTCTCCTACCCAAGAACAGAGTGAGCTTATGGGGGAACAGGTTGTGGATCTAAATTACCTTTGAGAAGGATCCATGTAGAGAGGCAGCTGGAGAGAAAATGGACTCATGAAAAGGGGAGGTTTTTGTTTTTGGTTACGGTGGGTTTTTTTTAACTGCTGGTCGATCAGATGTGAGAGTGGAACCCCATGAGCAAGCAGAGGACAAACCCTGGACAAGGAGGTAGAGAAGGGCTTAGATAATGGAACCAGGCTCTCACTTCCTTTTCTCAAGGCCCAAGGCTGGGTTTTCCAGCAGCGAGTGGGAAGAAGTGCCTCTCCTTTCTTCTGGATTGAAGGTCCAAAAACATACATATCATTGGGAGAAAGAGGGGGTGATGAAGTGGTCTGGACTCTGACTGGACTCTTGGTTTTGTTTTGAACTTTCATTATGACAGAAGATGAGATGTTTTGGTTTAGTGGAAGGACTAAACCATTTATAGTGAGGGCAAAAATGAGGCAGAGGCCCCATTTGCACAAAGCAAGGTAAGATCTCCATTATAGGGATGAAATCTTGGAAAGGTTCTCCTTGTGAAGTTTCCTCCCAGGGCCTCTGTTGGGTGCCAGGGTTTATTTTGGGAACACACTAGAAGCCAAGAGCCATCTGTACAAAGACCCTGTGCTTCCACAGCAACTGTGCTGTCTATTGAACCTCACGCTGGCTCTAGTAACTCCTTCCATCCATTGCTGCCCCTGGAAACTCTAATTACTGACTTTTTATTAAAGTAACAGAGTGGTTGAAATTATACAACTTATTTTCTTACCAGTTGGGCTTCCACAGTACACGAGCGCTCTGTGCCAAAGTTAATGCAGTAGAGGTATCACTGATTGTCAGAAGTATTCCTGTCTTTGTAACATCCCAGCCTTCCCCAAAAAGTAGAGCTCCAATTTCTAAAGGCTGCATGCAGTGAAAGGACAAGGGAGAGTGGTGACTCCCCCTACTACTGGGGCAGAGACAGATCTGTATTTGTGGACTTCTTTCTGTGTGCGTGTATAGGTGCTCTAAGACTTTAGATTGTGTGTGTTTTGCATGCATGTGCATGCTCATGTGTATGAGTGGGGCTAAAATATAACTGAAGCCTTGCCTAACATTCCAGTCATTTATTTCCCAATCTCCAGAAAAGACTCATTTTCACCATTCTGTTCTTAACTGCAAGGGACAGTACACACACCAGTCATGATCAGGGTCAGAAACCATCAGCATCTGTAGAAGTAGTTTCATTTGGATGACAAGTTGTCATGCTTATACCTTTAGGAACGTCAATCATTCTATATTCTAACAAACAAGATGTGTTATTGTTTACAAGACTGCTGGGAATATTGTTACTAATGTTGGCTGTGTACATATTGGAAAGAGGGAGGAAAAATCAAATACATGACAGCAATTTTGATCAAGGCAGACCATCCTTTTCATTTCAGAAACCAGTGTTCAATAGATTTTCTCACAATGTCAAAATGTGTTATTTTCATTGCAACGTATAGAATACTCCCAGCCGTGTGGCTGCTAGATTTTTCTGTTCTGGGAGAAAACTACATACATACCACTTTTAAACCATAGTTTGGTGAAAAAGCTGATTGAAATAGCAAAAGCAACATCATCCTTATTTCTGATTAGTTCGCCCTTCTCTCCCCTCAGCAATCTGTGTTTGCTGTGTTAGGGAAAAAGACAAGTACTTTCTTTTGTCAACATCTCTTTATATTTTTCCAATAGATAGGCCTGATCCAAAACGCTGGATAAAAACTTTCCTTCTGAAAACTTTCCTTATGTAAAAATGGCACCTTTTCACTCAATAGACCTGTCACTGGCTATATTAGAAGGCATAGCTGTTTTTCCTTACTACAAATAATGTGTATGGTTTTACTCTTATTAGCCCTGCAGAACTAATACAGCTAATGTGAGGTGTGACAGGGTCAGGCCAGACAGCTACAGGAGAGTGCAGGAAGGAAGATATTAGCCTCAGTATAAGTAGGTCCCTCTTCCCCTGGTAACTGAGCAGGGCTTACTCCAGGCTAATAAGGACACCTGGAGCCAATTAAGTACCTGCCAGAACAAGTTAAAAGCCTTCCCCCCAACCAGTCAGGGTGGGTGATAGGTGTTGTCAGAGTGAAGGTGAGCTGAGTGGTGTGGAAGTTGACAAAGACCAGGGGAAAACCTCACAGGTATAGAATTTGGGGAGAAATCCTACCCTAAATAGAAGAAACACCAAACACCTGAAGAAAAGGTCTACCAGAGGGGAGAGACTGAGCCATGTGTTTGATGTGGTGCTGCCATGCCTGGAAGGGTTACCAGACATTAGGGGCTCTCCCCCACCCCTGGCAGGAGGGTTGGGAGGAACCCCGCCCAAGCAAAGTGGAGACAATAAGACAAGGGGTGTGGGGAAGTAACCTGGGGAAGCTGACAGCTTTCCTGGGAACTGACAGCCTGAGGCTGCTACTTGTAGGGTTCCTGGGTTGGGGCCTGGAGTAGAGGGTGGGACTGGGCTCCCCCACCCCTTTTTCCTCTCACTGGATGTCCACCGAGGAAGCCAGAAGCCCTAGTGAAGCGGTGAGGGCTAGCAGGCCCAGAAACGGGAAGGCTGATTGGAGACAGAATTTCCTCGCCCACTACAAATGGGGTAGGGAGGGGGGAATTCTGAGAGACAAGATGCTATCCTGACCTACCATTAGAAGGAAGTGCAGGACCCACTGAGGCAGAGAAGAAGCCCTGCTACAGAGGGTAAGATGGATTCTCTTCTGTCTTGGATACAGTCAGTAGAATTGTTAATTAAGTTCCGATTGCACAATATTTATTGCTGGCAATGGATAAGATAAAAAGAACCCACACTGAGTCTCAGACCCCAGGCAGAGTTTGCAGGCTTGTAGTTTACAAATAAAACATTGTGAACTGATCATATTTGACCTAGAATTATTGAAACAATAAACAGGGAATCCCCCACAATACCATTTCTGTGATAACTTCCCAGCACAGAAGAACACTTTAAGGAAAAGTCAAATTAAGACACAAACTTTATGAGTTATAACCATCTCTCATTTTTCCCAGGTGTCACAATTAAGTTTCTTCTAATCTTTAAGTACAAATAGTATGAAGGGGTATAAACTCCCACTGAAACTAAGGACCATCACAAATCTCATCATCACACACCTCACCAACTTCTGCTCCAGGTGCAAGCTTTACAGTGCATATCTTTGATTATGCCTTCTCTTCCATAAATACATAGAAGCATGTACATTTAAAAAAAATAACTGCAAACCCTGCAAAAATAAACCACTCCACTTCACACACAATTCCTCCCTGAAGAGAGGATGTGAGATAAAACGAACCACATGTGATAGATGTCAGTCATGTTGCTTCATGCACTATTTGAAGACACTCAGATATTAGTGTGATGAGGGTGAAATAAGAACCTGTTATAAAATTGAATTAAATACAATACCAAAGATGTACCAAAAGGATCCAGGATGGAAATTTTCTTTATGAATGCTGGGTCATATGTGAATCATCTATTAGCTAGTATAGTAAAAGTCTCAACATAATTTGTAAAACCTTGTATTGATCCTCTTATCTTTATTTTGGAAATTGATTAATAGGAATTTGCTGTGGTGTAAATGTAGTTTATTTCACACTTGACCCCTTCAATAAACCTATATGTTAGGACAGCAGCTGTTCCTGTAACTTTTGCATGCCATCTCTACTCACAAATGGCTTTTTTACTTCTTAAGGCTCCCAAAATGTAATGAGTTAGGTTCCATCCAGCTGGCACTCCCTAAATCCATCTGAACATGAAAGATTGTTTTAATTATCTAAAAAATGACTAGATGTGTTGCAAATTTAGCAACCATGCAATTCAGAAAATCATGTCCCAACTCATCCAGATATTGGGCAAACAATGATATATGAGCTAATGTTCAATCCTGTGTTGTTCTCCCAACACTGGATTCATTATTAATCAAAATAAAATCAGAAAAGGACATGCAGTGGGTTTTTCAGCTTTGAAAGGAAGTTGGCTCTGATGTGCTACAAATTGCCACCTGTTTTCCAAAGTTATTGCCAATGGCTAAGAGAGAAGTTTTGAGCTGTGAATCATGGTCTAGCTTTTTAGGCTCCTGAATGACTTGATTTCTTGTGCTAAAATCTCTGGACAGATGTCCAATAAGCCTCAAAGTGTGCTACAATGCCATATGTATTAAACGGATTTTTTATATGCTTTTAAAAAGCTTGAAAAACAGAGGAGGGGATGAAAAAAAAATTGAAGCATAGACCTAGTGATGCATCACTCATAAATGTGATGTGAGCACATTGGGCATGTTTCCCATCTTATTTTAAAAATCAAAGGAAAGATGATATATCCGGCAGGAATTAAAAAAAAAGCTAAGAAAACCCTTTAAAGTGTAAGAAATTTACAACTCTGTCACCATCTGTTTACATGAATAAAGAGAATGTTATATGTGATCATCTCTATAATGAGCCCCCAATACAGGAGAAAATAGTTTTCATTTCTGATTTCATGTCCTGTAGTAATAGCAGTACCAATTGGTTCAACTGCCTTATAATATCCCATCTAAAAAGAGATTGAATTAAACCCAAACCAGAACTAGAGCTGGTTGGAAAAGGCTCAAGATTTTTTCACATATTTTCCACCTTTTTCGATCAAAACTCTGAGAAATTTGATCAATTATGAATTTCAAAATTTTGCACCCAGCTATATTTGTACTTCACCCATGGCATCCTCTGGTTTTATGAAATAAAATTAGGTTGATCTTAGACAATAATAATAGTCATACCATATCCTGCTGTGGAAAGTCCCAAGTGCTTCATTCTGTTCTTCACAAGTTCAGCAAGTTCCTGTCTTTCAGACCGCTTGTAAAGGCTCATCCGCTGCTGACTTATTTTCTCCGCTGTTTTGCCGGAGTGCTTTGGCACTTTTCTGCTCAGCCGTCGGGCCCACTGCATGCTCTTCCGTCGTAACAAGGGATGATCTGACTGATCGCTGGATGTGGAGTTACGATGGTTATTGCGGTTGTTTATTTGTTCTTTTGTGTCTTTGGTGTCTTCCCATTCTTCAACACTAATAGAGATTTGAGACTTCAAAGGGAAAATCACATAAAAAAATTAGGGGATTTAGGAAATAGATTTGTCAAAGAAATCATCGGAGACCTTTCTTTTGTCTCCTCCTTCAGCTCCAATTCAGCAATGCAGTTAAGCACATGCTTAAGTCACACTCAAGTCAATAGAGTTAAGAACACATTAATGTTCAGCATGGCCTGCTGAACGGGCAGTCTTTTTCTTTAAATGCCCTTGGAACAGTGTTATATAGACCATTTATGGCTTGATATAAATATGTTCCTACATTTCCCCAACAGCAAGAGAAGATAAGCATTAGTTAGTGCTTCTTGTCATTCTGTTTCTAAACATGAGGCTTCTATGCCTATTTTTAATAGGAATTCAATGACATTCTATTTCTTAGAATCCAGGAATAAAACTATTTGAACTCCAATAAGTCAATCTATTTAGCTTTACAAAGAGAAGATTAAGAGGTGACTTGATAACTCTATATAAGTATCTACATGGGGAAAATGTTTAATAATGAGCTCTTCAATCTAGCAGACAAAGGTACAACACAATCCAATGACTGGAAGTTGTAGCTAGACAAATTCAGCCTGGAAATAAGGCATAATTTTTAAACCGTGAATGTAACTAACCATTGGAACAATTTACCCAGGGTCCTGGTGGATTCTCCATCACCGACCATTTTAAAATCGAGATTGGATGTTTTTCTAAAAGATCTGCTCTAGGGAATATTTGGGGGTAAGTTCTATGGTCTGTTATGCAGGAGGTCAGACAAGATGATCACAATTGTCCCTTTTGGTCTTGGAATATATGAACGCTATCTCAATGAACTGAATGGAATGTGTCTTGCCTGTTGAAGAAAGACTTATCCGCTTCCTCACTGAATGCCTTTTTATATGCTCTTAATTGCTCAAAATGTGCAGGCCTTTAGCAGGGATAATTTGCTGAAGTATGGAAGATTCATATAGACATAACTCTCTGACTGACTGAAAGATTTTAACAAGCATGCTGTTTAATACACCACAGAAAAAAGAAAGATGACAATAGGAAAGCTATGTTTTTCTCATGCACTGTTGAAGTGTCAGTCCCTGGATATTAGAGACACAAGGTGGCTGAGGCAATATCTTTTAATGGACAACTTCTGTTGGTGAGAGAGACAAGCTTTCGAGTTAATGCTTTTGTGCATAAGTATATTTCAAATACCTATAATTTGACATAATGTTTATGACTTTTATGGAAATGCTTGTTCATTTGCGTAGAAGACTGTTCCAATATGTAATTATAGGAGAGCCTTTGCACATGTTAAGGGAAATGACACTAGTATGAGACCCTCAATTGCCCTGAACTGCTCTAACATTCTAATTGCACACATTGATTCTAAGCTCATTCGTCCTCTCTCCATAACTGGTCAGGGTTACTTTCACTGGGGTCAACACTGGGGAAACGGAGACAAATAACAAACACTTACTTGCGAAGCTATTTCTCGTGACTGACAAAGGGAGGAGAAAAGAAAACAAACACAATTTAAACAACATTGGGTAAACAGGAACAAACACGAACCATTGAACAGCAATCACAGATAGTAAATATGGGCTGATGCTTGCTTTATTCTGAATGGAATTTTGGATTAAATTAAAGTTCTGTCATTTGAACAGATCACTTAATGACTGTGCATACATTATGCTTTTTAATCTGACTCACGGGAAATTTATCTGATGAAGCTATCCTGCATTAAATCATAATAATTTTAATAACACAGAAGTGAAATGAAGTACGGACTGTAATGCAAAAGGTTGAAGGGGGAAGTAGTATTCAACTCACTAGTAATGTTCATTTTTTCTTGTATTTGCTACTGGCAGCGATCATTACCTCAAGTTTACCAAAAGCTAATGCTCCTATCTCATACAGACTGTATTTGTATAAATATGCGTGTTTAGCTCCTTGCTCGGTAACATCATTATATCATCACATCCCTTTTCTCTTAAAAAACAAAATGTAGTTCTGGTAGTTCTTTAGGAAAGAACATACTTTTTGCATGTCAAAAATTTTGTACATAAAACATTTTTGCTGTCTAAGAACAAGAATATTACTTGGCAAACTGAACAATTTAACAGAATCTCTATCATAACACACAATGATTGTTGTATGGCGGGGACCATAATATCATGTTGGCAAACTGAATGAAGGAGACATTTATCACACAAATGTTTATCAGGCTGTTTATCTGATGTTGTTTAATTCTATCTAATTTACAAAGATATTAAACAGCATTGGTCCTTAGACTGATTCATTATTGTTTGTTACTAGATTCAGAAGTTATCTTTAATTGTAGTGTAGTGTTGTATAACTATATAGTTTTAGAATTATATTCCTGGTCCACATATTTTTATCCAAGCAGAATTGTTCAACTTTTTTCCATAAATATTGTCATCTGCACATTGAATTTAACAATTACTATTTTGCTAACTTTTCCATCATTTTAACTCTTTCTGGAAAGCAACAGCAGAAACATAGGGGAAGGGGAAAAGGGAAAGAGTAGAACAAATAATGATAGAATCATAGAACATCAGGGTTGGAAGGGACCTCAGGAGGTCATCTAGTCCAACCCCCTGCTCAAATCAGGACCGATCCCCAACTAAATCATCCCAGCCAGGGCTTTGTCAAGCCTGACCTTAAAAACTTCTAGGGAAGGAGATTCCACCACCTCCCTAGGTAACGCATTCCAGTGTTTCACCACCCTCTTAGTGAAAAAGGTTTTCCTAATATCCAATCTAAATCTCCCCCACTGCAACTTGAGACCATTACTCCTTGTTCTGTCATCTGCTACCACTGAGAACACTCTAGAGCCATCCTCTTTGGAACCCCCTTTCAGGTAGTTGAAAGCAGCTATCAAATCCCCCCTCATTCTTCTCTTCTGAAGACTAAACATCCCCAGTCCCCTCAGCAGCTCCTCATAAGTCATGTGTTCCAGTCCCCTAATCATTTTTGTTGCCCTCCGCTGGACTCTTCCCAATTTTTCCACATCCTTCTTGTAGTGTGGGGCCCAAAACTGGACACAGTACTCCAGATGAGGCCTCACCAATGTCTAATAGAGGGGAATGATCATGTCCCTCGATCTGCTGGCAATGCCCCTACTTATACATCCCAAAATGCCATTGGCCTTCTTGGCAACAAGGGCACACTGTTGACTCATATCCAACTTCTCATCCACTGTAACCCCTAGGTCCTTTTCTGCAGAACTGCTGCCAAGCCATTCGGGCCCTAGTCTGTAGCGGTGCATTGGATTCTTCTGTCCTAAGTGCAGGACTCTGCACTTGTCCTTGCTGAACCTCATCAGATTTCTTTTGGCCCAATCCTCCAATATGTCTAGGTCCCTCTGTATCCTATCCCTACCCTCCAGCGTATCTACCGCTCCTCCCAGGTTAGTGTCCTCTGTAAACTTGCTGAGGGAGCAATCCACACCATCCTCCGGATCATTTATGAAGACATTGAACAAAACCGGCCCCAGGACTGACCCCTGGGGCACTCCACTTGATACCGGCTGCCAACTAAACATGGAGCAATTGATCACTACCTGTTGAGCCTGACAATCTAGCCAACTTTCTATCCACCTTAGTCCATTCATCCAGCCCATACTTCTTTAACTTGCTGGCAAGAATACTGTGGGAGACCGTGTCAAAAGCTTTGCTAAAGTCAAGGAACAACACGTCCACTGCTTTCCCTTCATCCACAGAGCCAGTTATCTCGTCATAGAAGGCAATTAGATTAGTCAGGCATGACTTGCCTTTGGTGAATCCATGCTGACTGTTCCTGATCACTTTCCTCTCATGTAAGTGCTTCAGAATTGATTCCTTGAGGACCTGCTCCATGATTTTTCCAAGGACTGAGGTGAGGCTGACCAGCCTGTAGTTCCCAGAATCCTCCTTCTTCCCTTTTTTAAAGATGGGCACTACATTTAGCCTTTTTCCAGTCATCTGGGACCTCCTCCGATCGCCATGAGTTTTCAAAAATAATGGCCAATGGATCTGCAGTCACATCCGCCAACTCCTTTAGCACTCTCGGATGCAAAGCATCTGGCCCCATGGACTTGTGCTCGTCCAGCTTTTCTAAATAGTCCCAAACCACTTCTTTCTCCACAGAGGGCTGGTCACCTCCTCCCCATGCTGTGCTGCCCAGTGCAGTAGTCTGGGAGTTGACTCTGTTCATGAAGACAGAGGCAAAAGAAGCATTGAGTACATTAGCTTTTTCCACATCCTCTGTCACTAGGTTGCCTCCCTCATTCAGTAAGGGGCCCACACTTTCACTGACTTTCTTCTTTTTGCTAACATACCTGAAGAAACCCTTCTTGTTACTCTTAACATCTCTTGCTAGCTGCACTCCAGGTGTGATTTGGCCTTCCTGATTTCACTCCTGCAAGCCCGAGCAATATTTTTATACTCATCCCTGGTCATTTGTCCAATCTTCCACTTCTTATAAGCTTCTTTTTTGTATTTAAGAGCAGCAAGGATTTCACTATTAAGCCAAGCTGGTCGCCTGCCATATTTACTATTCTTTCTACACATCGGGATGGTTTGTCCCTGTAACCTCAATAAGGATTCTTTAAAATACAGCCACCTCTCCTGGACTCCTTTCCCCCTCATGTTATTCTCCCAGGGGATCTTGCCCATCAGTTCCCTGAGGGAGTCAAAGTCTGCTTTTCTGAAGTCCAGGGTCTGTATTCTGCTGCTCTCCTTTCTTCCTTGTGTTAGGATCCTGAACTCGACCATTTCATGGTCACTGCCTCCCAGGTTCCCATCCACTTTTGCTTCCCTTACTAATTCTTCCTGGTTTGTGAGCAGCAGATCAAAAAGAGCTCTGGTTCCTCCAGCACTTGCACCAGGAAATTGTCCCCTACATTTTCCAAAAACTTCCTGGATTTCCTGTGCACTGCTGTATTGCTCTCCCAGCAGATGTCAGGGTGATTGAAGTCTCCCATGAGAACCAGGGCCTGCAATCTAGTAACATCTGCGAGTTGCCGGAATAAAGCCTCGTCCACCTCATCCCCCTGGTCTGGTGGTCTATAGTAGACTCCCACCACGACATCACCCTTGTTGATCACACTTCTAAACTTAATCCAGAGACTTTCAGGTTTTTCTGCAGTTTCATACTTGAGCTCTGAGCAGTCATACTGCTCTTACATACAGTGCAACTCCCTCACCTTTTCTGCCCTTCCTGTCCTTCCTGAACAGCTTATATCCATCCATGACAGTACTCCAGTCATGTGAGTTATCCCACCAAGTCTCTGTTGTTCCAATCACATCATAATTCCTTGATTGTGCCAAGACTTCCAGTTCTCCCTGTTTGTTTCCCAGGCTTCGTGCATTTGTATATAGGCACTTGAGGTAACCTGCTGATCGCCCCTCTTTCTCAGTATGAGGCAGGAGCCCTCCCCTCTCACGCGCTCCTGCTCATGCCTCCTCCCAGTAGCCCACTTCCCCACTTACCTCAGGGCTTTGGTCTCCTTTCCCCGGTGAACCTAGTTTAAAGCCCTCCTCACTAGGTTAGCCACCCTGCTTGCGAAAATGCTCTTCCCTCTCTTCGTTAGGTGGAGCCCGTCTCTGCCTAGCACTCCTTCTTGGAACACCGTCCCATGGTCAAAGAATCCAAAGCCTTCTCTCCGACACCACCTGCGTAGCCATTCGTTGACTTCCACAATTCGATGGTCTCTACCCAGGTCTTTTCCTTCCATGGGGAGGATGGACGAGAACACCACTTGCGCCTCAAACTCCTTTATCCTTCTTCCCAGAGCCACGTAGTCCGCAGTGATCCACTCAAGGTCTATACGTCTCTACAATAGGTCTTAATCTCAAATTTATCAAAAGCTACTGCTCCTAAATTCATTTCACAGCTGCCTCTCCTTTACACAGATGCTGCTTCCTAGATAGATAATAGGAAAGGGTTCAGCCTTTTGTTTGCTGATTTCACATGCACTTTTGAAAACATACATGTGAGAAGGCTGCTGACGCTGAATTCTTCACAATAGGTTTGGTGCTTTGGCTACAACCATTACTGATCTCAGTAATCAGTCACTATCAGAATTTTACTGTTTTTAATTGACTGTCATATGTTACATTAGTTTTAGCATACCTTTAGTTGTACATATGTGGCACCATAATACCCTGTGCTCAGTTGTTGTGAATTCTTCTGTTCTTATGACTTCTACCATGATTTTGCTTTTAAGAGTTCAGTGGAGTAGGAAAGGATGATGTGTCCTCTGTTTCGTAAAACCTTGATTGGTTTTTCTCATGTCAGCAATAATACTGCCTATGTTTTTCCCCAAGAGATGATTTTGATAGATGGTACCACTGATGCTGAGCTGAGAAGAATACACTACAAATACTGTAGTAGTACAGTTGACTAGTTCAAGTATGGTTGGAAAGTAAAAGGAATCTGGAGAGCTTGTGTCAAGGTTCCTCCCCCACTCTGAACTCTAGGGTACAGATGTCGGGA